TTGAATACTTTGTTACTATAGTAACGTATGTAATAGTTGATTTACCAAACATGTTTATCATGCATTTGAGACATCTTACCTTCAACTTTTGGAAACAGTCATTAACACTTGTTTGCTTTGCTGCAAATGTTAACTATGGGGCTCTAGACATGTTAAAAAATGCCATTTTTCGAACTTTAAGACATGTTGCCATGGTAACTATAAAACATAGCAACCAATTTTTGCGTGATTTCAGTTCAGGGTATCAATGCCTTTTATCATAGAGAGTTTGGAGAAATTCTGAGACTATGCGTGCCACAGCTCCTATATAAAATTTCAAATCATTACAGAGAATGGCTCTTAACAATTACATGCATGATACAAGTCACAGTGATAAGAATAACACATGTAGAAAGTCCATGCGCCTGTAACTATAATGACAAAATATTTAAACAATATGAATTAACAGTCTTTAAAAAAAGTTTTAGGAGATCTCTTACCTTTCCAAAACACCCAGCACGTCTGCTGCAGCAGTGACGTCAAAAATGACGTACGATTTCATCCGATAAAAGAGAAAACCGTCCCGGAGACTAATGCGGAATTATTTTAATTTTACTCGAGAAGTAAGCCAAGCCCAATGAAAAGCAAATTAATTTATTCTTGATCAATTTTACCTGGTAAATGCATTATTACAGAAAAAAAAGTTTTTAGAAAGGAAAGAGGGGGGGGGTGGTAAACAGAGCAAAACTTTGCATAGTCATAAGTATAATTACAAACAGATGCTTTTGAATTTAATAATTTACATTTAAATTTATCTTGATATATGTATTTAAAATTGCAATTTTACATGAGTATAACTAGGGTAAATTAGTGAACATCATTTTGTAAAATTCTCATATGATCACTGTTTCATATTTGATGTATTCATATGATTCTCATATGCAGTGTACATTTGATTCTCATATGATCATCGTATAAGGGCAATGCATATGTGGATCATATGTGGCTAAATTGCCTGTGTAGGTGTAATGCAATATAATAGTACTATTTCTGCTATTTCTAAATTTTCAAAGAATATGTCAATAGAAAGAATGCACTTGAGAAAACATTGTCAGCCTAATTTACCATTTTATTTTGAAAATATTTTTCACTTTGAAAAATGTACAAAGGGAATTTACAACTATATAAACAAAAATGATTCAATTCCTACAGCAATTCCAAAGTGGAATCAAGAATTATCTCCCTTTGGAGTGACACATAGTTGTATAAAAGATGTTTTTAAAGTCTGTTTTAGACTACTTCTGACTCTTCTGACCGGTCACGGTAGCGTAATGGTAGAGCGTTCGCTTCGTGATCGGGAGGCCCGGGTTCGATTCTCGATCGCTGCGCCGCGTCATACCTAAAACGTAAAAAAAACGTAGTGATTGTTCCTTCGCCAAGCGCTCGGCACTGGAAGTTAAATTTACGGGTCTTTCAGCTATGACTTAAAAAACGTAGATCCCGTGTCACTGTAGGCGCTGGCACGATAAAAAACCCTCACTGCTCAATGGCCCTGAGTGTCGAGTATAGGTCAAAATTTGAAGTCCTTCGCCGACATACGTTGACGTCTCCATATGAGTGAAAAATTCTCAAGAGGGACGATAAACAGCATACAATCAATCAATCAATCAATCTGATTCTTCTGTGCAGTGGTTATAATATAGAATTTTACATAGGATCCTCCTTTTAGATTCTTATCTTAAGAAAATCAATATAAAAACTACTGATGTTTGTAAGTTTAGTACCCAAGAAACTGAACCTGTACTGCATGAATTTGTTCATTGTGATCATATAATATCATTATGGAGGAACTTGAATTTACAAATATACCCAACATGTTAGAAATGTTATCATAGGTGAATTATCACTTACTAATGATAATAGCATTGAAAACTTTATGATATTATACACAAAACAATATATATTTTTTTCATTTTTATTGCAAGCAAAAATACCTTGGTTTACTTGAAATTATTTGAAAATGAAATACAATATTGAAACATACATGTCTATCAACAATTAAAATCTACATTATTTTGAAGAAAAATAGAGTTTTTTGAAAAATATTTTTGAAGAAATGTAAAATGTATGTTAGATATTTGCTTAAATTAGTTTCGTGATAGGGACAACTGATAACTGTATACAGGGTTATTTTCGCCCTGTGTTATTTTTGACAAATTTATAGTTCCCCGAGGGAGGAAACTATTTCCCTTCGCCGCCTCGGGAAATAGTTGTCTGCCGGGGGAAACCATAAATTTGCTATTTCTCGAGTTCCCATCCCATAACTGTTTTATTATACCGAAACAATCATAGACGATTTAATTTTTTTTACCAGATATTCCGACAAAAACACTGTAGAGGCATAATTAGCTATGCATGCGATTTAACACATTGCATGATAAGTAATGCATCGTGTCCTAAAACAATCAAATTATTTTTAAGAACTTTTTTCACTGACATTTCGAAGAATTTTCGTTGTCTTCATTTTACTAGAATTCAAGTATGATTTTGACATCGCATGTCGGAATGTTTTGACGTCATAGTTACATTGCTAATAACATGACGTCACCGACTCGAGATTCCTTGAACGCTCCGCCTACTGAACACTTTGATTGGGTAAAATTACTAATAAATATTCCTGAGGGAGTAGTCCAAGGGAGTAGCTCTGATTTTCCAGGGAGTTGTCTTCAGTTGAGGGCAGTAGTCTCTTCTCGGAGAAATAGACAGTTTTATGGTATTAATTTTATATAGAGTAATTACAGTAGAGGTAAAATAAATCTCCTTATTTTCCAAAATTAGGTATGCTTTACGAAACATTACCTTATTTGAATATCTGTATCAAAAAAAGTCTGAAAATATATTTAGATAAATCTTGGCTTTTATTAATACGGCAGAACAATACAATCTTTTGCAGTTATTTTCATATTTTCAAATGAACAAATTATGAATGCTTATTCTCTACAAAATCAGAAACTTACACGAAAACTTATCAAATGCAGAATATATGAGGTACATTGGAGTCATAACGAAATAGTTACATAAAATTTATCTGAAATAAACGGCAAAAAAGAATTTGGTTACAATTAACAATATAAAAATATAATTTGAAAAAAAATGCATCAGTTACCTTACCTTAATTAAAGAACAAGGTTCACTTTTGCCTTGTTAAGCCCTGTGAATTTCTGAAAAACTAAAACTGCATAGTGCTACTTAACAATGCATTGAATAATTACTAAGATCGTTTGTGTCTGCATATCTATAAAAATGACGTCATTTTCTGTCAAGTCAATGCATTATGAGATTTAAAAAGGCGCCAATTTCCTTATATTCCAAAAAAGGTCTACAAACGGCCAATATTGAACTATTTGATTTAAAGTGCATCCTCTGATTAAAAATATGCAACTGCTAGAATTTTTTTTTGGGAGGGGGGGGGGATTACAAGACATGTTTCTTTTTTTTTGAATCAGAGAGTGAGCTGATACCATTTCTCTTCACTGAATGTACTCAATTAAATCTGTTTACTTAAAAAATTCAGAAATAATGCAATTTTACAAAGCCAGTTCTCCAAGACTTTAAGGAGAATTTTTTTTATAGGAAATGAAAGCACAAAGTCCCAATTTTAATTTAATGCTTCAAATAGAAAATGAAGAGTTTATGAATCAATTGGTGTATCTACAGGACCATTCAATTAAAAAGTGAACAGGGTTCTTTATAAAATACAATACTATAATACCAAATTCTGTTTAAAAATCTCTAAGCTCTAAGGGTACCCCTGTGTTTAACGCTCTTAGGTCATTCAGTAAATATTTCTGTATAAAGGTGTTATTATTGAACTTAACATTTATTGATTTTTAATATATGGAAAGTAATATGCATTTTTGTATAAAGCATAGCTTCACAATGTTTTAGAAAAATATCCAAATACAAATTGTACTTTAAGACCTTAAGAACAGAACGGTTTGCACTACATGATAAATGTTAATATAAATATTCCAGGAACCGATGCTTTTAAAAAACAAACTTATTTTCAGTTCCATATCCCTGTTCTTGTTCAAATGATGTATACATTTTCCTTTTCATACCCCTTTGAGTAAGGTTTCATATTTTGACTTTGCTCTTCTTATTAATCTGCATAACCTTAAAATGCTTAATATGGCCATGCTGCTCTTAAAAATATTTTTCTTCTTCACATGCTAAACCATGAACTTATTTTACTGTTCCCACCCAACACCTTGACTCTGATTTGAGCATTTGAAAACCACAGAAAAAGTTTCATCTGATTCACATAAGTTACTAAGCTAATTAAATAATAGTAACATCACAAGTGTTCTTTATAAGCTGGATTTTCTTTTCAGAATGTCTTGACACAATTGAAACATTTTTTCCGATGGTTGACGATTACCTAAACGTTTTAAATATTCATCCATATCCATTGTACGTTGGATCTGAAAAAAAAAATAAATTACCAGCAACATATTACGTGCATTTGTCATAGTCTTTTACAAATAAGGTACAATAAGATAGGAAATAATTGTACTCGATTTCGTTTAAAACAATGGCTACCTCAGTAAGATCATTGATGATATCTGTGTACGTTTCTGTCTAGAAAGGAAAATAATACGTTTAATTTTAATTACACTTAGAGTATTTTGTATCGATCAAATTTTTTTCCAATTTATGATGTGAATGAACTTACCTCAGTGATATTGTCATTTAGCGCTGATTGCTGGCTGTCGCATACAATTGCATCGCAGAAATTATCATTGTTATATTTGGCATCACTCGGTAAGTCGACATCTTCAGACAGATCCTGCATTTCCTGTTGTTTGATAAAAATCGCTTATTATCATATTGCTTTTAATATTAAATCTAAATTTTCGATATTATTTATTACATTGGATATACATGTACCTGTTTACAGGTACAGTGTATATGCAATTTAGAAGCAAATGATTCCTTCATTTTCTTTAAAATTCATTTCTCTATGCACAGGCCAATCTATGAATAAAAAATACCTCTAAAATATCCATTTGTAACGATTCTTGGTGAAGCAAGTCTTTTTCAACAAGAGAATTTTCGCTTGAAAAAATGTTGTCAAGGAGAGTCATTAAAAGTTCAGGATCAGCATTTACTACAGGGTAATTTTCATTTTCTTCCAAATTCGATAAATTGAGTCCATCAGGATTCCTCTGACATTCCTGTAAAAAAATTATGCATACACTATAAATATATCATGTATATAACAAACCAACTTCTTTTTCACTTTCCCCCTCTCACTCATTAATGATTAAAATATTCTTTTATTATTTTACAAAAAAAAATCAATCACAACAGTTTCGGCTATAAATCTGAAATAAAAAAAATAATAACACAAGTTGAAGTATTTTTTTAAAAGAAGAGTTTTAATAGTTTCTTCAATGAATGGCATGGAGACAATTTGGATCTAAAAGTTAGGCCGACTAATATAATTACCACAAGATCTGTCCCAGTTCTTTTAACCATTTTGTTAGCAGGAGCCTTAAAAGGAAATAAAAAAATTACATTTGCTTCAAAATAAAAGTTTTAAGGATATAATCATTAATGTATATATATATAATCATTTCAATTCACGATTGTCTTCATTGTTCTTACCAATGTGTTTTCATTGGAATGTCTCCTCCTTTTCCTCTTTAAAATAGAACAAAAATTCATTTCAATATTTTCTATGAAATGTATGAATTTATCAAATGCTAAGTACATCTACAGTATTTCTGCAATTTGATTTCAAAATTAAACTGATGATTTTTCAATGTACAATAGGTATATCAAGCAATAAAATACATGTATTTCCCAATTTTGGTTTATAGTAGTGGTTTTAATGCACATATTGATTGTGTTTAAAGTTCCCAGTAAATGGAGTAAAGACTCTCTCTTTCTCTCTCTCATCTATCTATCATTATTGATAAAAATTTGAGTTTTTCAATTAAATTTCGATTTCAGATAATTATATATATATGTGTATATGCACCTGACGACAGACTTTTAATTTTGCACTTTGATCCTCCAAGTACTCTTGATCTGAACGTTCTGCACCTTCTGGGGCACGCTCTTCTTGATTTTTCAGTAAATGTTCGTTGTGTATATCTTTGCTTGTGCTTTTTTCATGTGATATTTTGTATTCTGCGTGTATGTTTGGATATGTTTTCAAATCATTGTAGTCGTATTGCTTGGTAACTTGAATACCTAAGGATGGCTCCTTGTTGGATGACTTCTGAATATTTAGAGAAAAATAAATGTCAAAAATTATAAAAGGCTGGATAAAATGTAAAGTGTAATACATTGTATAATTTAAACCAAAAAAAATGTTTTTAAAATAAATTGATTTAGAAATATTCACAATTGAATGTTTCATAAATTTTCATCCCAGATTGTGATTCTTTCATTACTTTTTATAGGAAGCCGCAATAGAGGTATATTTCAATAATTTTTTTTCTCTATAATATTTACCTGGACGATGGCTAAACATGCCCTCCATATCTCCACTGATGGATCTTCAACTTCCTCAGCATATGCTTGTAACGTCGTAGTCAGTTTCTTCTCATGCAACCACCTTATAATTGCTTTTTTACTTTCTTCCTGCTTAATTTTGGTATTAAGATTGTTGTAGTGTCTTAACAGGCTCTCCCATTCCGGTGATAAAGGCACATAGGTTTTGTTCTGTAGGATATGTATAATCTTGCTGAAAATGTTATCCTCTTTCGATCCTAAGTTGCATGAACTTCCGGTTGGAAGATTTGATATGTTCCCAAACTCAATTTCCGGTTTATAATCACCCCATCCAGGTGGATGGTGTTTAAAGATCTCTTTTGGTATTTCTTCGCCAGCATGTTGGTATATCAGTTTCACCAAATCTTTCTGAGAGCGTCTTCTAAAGCTGCGCAAAATCTGCGATCTTGATGTTGTAGACGTGTTTTCAGTCGGACCTGGATTTACTTCTACGTCACCACACGTCCATAGCACAAGTAACACAGCTTTTTCCGTCCAAAGCAAAATATAAGGTTTTTTGCATCGAGAAGACATAGTCATCGATAGGCAATGCATTAAAACTAGAAGTAAACGAAACAATAAAATATACTTATACCTTTAACAATATGCAAAATATTCTACATGTATAACATTCGAAAATTGTATCATGAGTTATATTTCTTTACTTACCCAAAGTGGTCTCACGACATTTCTCAAGATTTGCTTTCCAAACTACAATATGGTTGAAATGTTGATAAAATACTGGTGCTATTTTATGGCTATATGTCATTTTTTTCTAGTTATTTGAAGAAGTAATGTATCAAGCCAATAAATTTAATAAATGTCATTGGATTTGCAGATCAAATAACTGCAACTTTAATTTGTACAGCATTACACCCTGAATTTAGTAAAGTAAGCTTCTTTAAAAAAAACTAGAGGTACTGTGAGCGATGTGCTCAATACCCTCGCCTCCCATTTGGTTACAATGGCAAAGTCTATGTTTTGTTGTGGCCGGGAAACCCAAAATATGTTCGGATTTGAAAGTAAAACGGGAGATCACAATGGCGCTATGTTATAAAGATTCTGTGAAAATTTCATTAAATTTCATTCAGTGGTATGAGAGAAGTTGCGGATAAGAGATGGGTACCCCAAAGCGTAACAGACAGACGAACGGACAGCTAGACGGACGGACATACCGATTACAGTATACCCTCCTAGTTTTTTTTTTTTTAGCGAGGGTACAATTAATCTGTATGATATTGCATGCATACACAAATAGGATGAACTACTTCAGCAAATGAAATAAGTGTTTAAATTTACAACGTTAGCTGTTAACATAAACACAATATGAATGAATAGTCCACTGAATGTGATCTCTCTCTCTCTCTCTCTCTCTCTCTCTCTCTCTCTCTCTCTCTCTCTCTCTCTCTCTCTCTCTCTCTCTTTCTCTTATAGTGTAAAAAACTAACTTACCTATATCCTCTAATCGTTCAAGGATGAAATTCAAATTTTCAATGTTTTTCTAAAAAAAAAAGATGAAAAGTGCTTTGCCTTTATGAATTAAAATCAAAGTCAAACTGAAAAAATAGAAATATTAGGTACTATGAAATGTGATTTATTTTCTACACTGCATTGGTACAAGGCAAGTTGTAATAAAAACCGAACTCTAATAAACCTAACTATAACATTTTGCGCTGTTACAAACATGACCGAAAATATACAGTGTACTATTTCAGTAACTGTACAATGGCATGGTTTCTCAGATTTACTCAGCTGAGAAATAATATGCTAACGAAGGCAAAGTTGTAAAAACCAAAAATTACAGAAAATGACATAAAGTCACTGCAGACATGACCCGTTATGACAAGGAGAGTGACATCAAATTCAGGACTTATTACAAAAAAACATGTAAAGTTTTTCTGTAAAAATTACGGATCTTGACTAGCTTTAAGACTGAGTGTGAGCAATTTTTATTGAATATTAAATTTTTAATTTAATTTCTCTTTAGTAAAATAAAAAGTTTTCTTAAGGAATCATTTTGTTAAGTTTGTTCGGTATGCCAGAGGATCAACGATGAAAACAAGCTAGTGCAAATATTCAAAAAGGATTAACTATAAATAAAAATAAAAGAGAGGAAATGTTCTTTATAATTTTGCTAAGGATAGAAATGTAATCGCTTCGTTTCGACATGAACTACGATATAAAATTGGAATATACCCTGAGAAATTCGAATTTTTATGAAAATTTTTTACAGATATATTGCTTTAGCCCCTTACAAGCACTTTCATGTGCAGGAGACGATATATTTTTCCACGTAGCATTATTCACTGCTCCGAGGCAATTTATATGTAACACTTGAAAACATTATAATTTTATCCCGCTTTCGCGATAGCGAGGGGACATCAAATCTCATTCTTCTGTCCGTCTGTCCGTCTGTTTGTTTGTTTGTCTGTCTGTCTGTCTGTCTGTCAGTCAGTCTGTCAGTCTGTCAGTCTGTCCGTCCGTCACAAAAACTTAATCCTTGCTCATAACTTTTGATTTAGAGGAGCTATGATTTTCATATTTCATATGTGTATTCCTCCGGACAACACTTTTCTTTTGGTACCACCAATTTGACCTTTTAACCTTGACTTTGGACCTTGACATTGGAGTATGACCAACTTTTCAAAAACAATGACCTTGGCCACAACTTCTGAACAGTAGATACCAGAACTTTCATATTTCACATAGGTATTTTTTTGTGGCAAGACCTTTCAATTGATACCAAAAACCTTGATGTTTTGAACTTGACCTTGGAGATTTTTTGTACTTATGAGAAAAAGTTAAGCTTGACCATAACTGTTGAATGGTAAGGGCAAGGGCTTTCATACTTCACGTATGTAATCCTTTTGAGAAGACTTTTCATTGGATACAAGAACGTTAACCCTTTGACCTTGACCTTGGAGTTCAGTGATATTTCAAAATAGATGACTTATGATAGGGCTTTCATATTATACACAAAATATCATAAAAAATGACATTTCACCCAAAAAGACACAGAAAGTGGGGGACCACAATTCTTTGAATTTGCTTGTTGATAGTTAAGACCCAAGTGATTAACAGAGTCATATGATACAGCATATTTTTGTAGGTTTGCAACTGAGATATTTCTTTGTGCATATTGTCTTTGTTTCTGTTCATTCATATACACGCAGTCATATTGAAGTCAACACAAAGAAGCCCTGTATGATTTATTTGAAATGAAAAGAAAAGATTCGGACAGCCATAACGTTGCTGCGTTTTCAGTAATCTTACCAATAATGTTACCATTAATTCAGTTTTCGAAATGTAGTCCATTGAAAAGGAAGGTTCTTTGAGATCCCTTCTCTTCGGAGTCGTGCATTCCTTTGTTTCCATTCGACTGTCTAAAGTTGTAAAAGATACATTCAATTTATTTTTCAAATAAATAAACATATCTAAACATGTATCCAGCAGATATCTTACACTCATTAATCTACAACCTTTACTTTTAGTTAGAGGAAGTATGAGTATTTATTCGTAAATCTAATTTATTGGCAATAATGTTTAAAGATCCAAAAAAGATGATTTCATTCTCTTTATGTACTGTAAATTCCTTGTTCTTCGTGAGTACTTTTTATCGCAGTTAAGTTCTTCAACGCCAAATCGCAAGGATAATAATTTGCGAATGAATGTCCTATAAAGAGATTTTACATAGATCATAAAACTACGCGGTGGAACCCATTCATTTTACTTTTTACAACATGACTTAAATTATTATTTTCAAATGTTTTGACAAAATTTTGTATCATCTCTCTTTAAATGCTTTTAAACTCCAATTTCATATGTTTCCAAATATGAATTCTCGTAAAGTTTCATTTTTCACTATGCAAATATTGATTAACAGTTATGATGTACGTCTTGGGTTTGGTATTTAAACTCTGTGACAGATACATACCCATTTATACCTCCAATAAACTACAGGAATCTATTCTTATTTAGCTTTTGCATGTTTCCGTTCATTTCTATGACCTCAAATCAATTTTTAATATAAATTTTAAGAAATCGTTACATCATACTCTTTGTCACATTGTTTAAATAACAGTGTATTAAAATATATATTGGGAACCTTAACATATCCGTGGTAATTTGAACACACCTGAATCTAGAGTGAGTAATAAAGTTTTTGCATTTCTTACCGAGTGGTTATTGAGGAGAGGATTCTAAAACATTGCCCCCCATTTTTTCACAAATTCTAAATCATCTCCTTTTCAAAGAGGGCTTGACACTTTACCTAAGGATGCTTTGTGGCATGATTGATAGAAATTTGCCCAGTGATTCTTGAGAAGTCGAAAATGTGAAAAGTTTACAAACAAGAGACAGTAGTCCACAATAGACAGACGGACATCAGGCACTCTTTGATCAAAAACGCTCATTTAAGCCTTCGGCTCTGGTGAGTTTAAAAGTTTACCAGAAATGTTGTTGTCAAAATATGAATGAAACCTAAAGATATCAGATTATGATTACATTCCTAGTGTTTCCTTTTCGCAGCATCTTAGTTCTAACGTGATTCATTTTCCTTTAATGTGAATAATACAAAGAAAGTATTTAGTAATATTGGTTTCGTACAGTAGATTATCAGTAATAGCAAGTGTTATAAAAAATAAAGTCATTGCATTGAACATGATTGATTGTTTGAAGTGCATTCTTGTGATTTATCTAAGATTTTATGCCGGGATATATTAATATTTACGCATTTATTTATTCAATATCTTCACATTTCATTACAGCAGTGGGGAGTGTAAAAAGGGTGTACTTTTTTAATGAAATAGGTATTAATAATCAATGCTCTCATCAATGTTTATCTTTCAGGTTTTTTTTCTGGTCAATAGATATCAGGGTACAAGTCTACTTCAACATGGGAAGATTGGTGATCAACGCAAAAAGGTTACTACTAGAACACTATTGAAGTCAATAAAAAGATTTTGATGTTTTATGGGGCAGGAAAATGTCATTACGAAATTTAGAAATGTCACCGTCTCCAAGCGGAGCCTATTTTCCTTACTTGTGAACCGAATTAAATTCCAAACTTACAATTTATTAAAAAGTCAATGTCTCTAGTGCTCACCAACAATAATGGAAGAAGGATATGGAGATATGGAGATAACGAACAGTTTTCAACCTCAAAGGTAATAAAACAAGAAAAAACAAGAGCAAAGCAAACACGGACCTCCAAAACATTAGAGGTGGGATCAGGTGCCATGGAGGAGTGAGCATCCCCTGCCGACTGGTCTCATCCGCCATGTGTTCCTTGTTACGAGGAAATAAGGAAACAATCCGTCGTCAATTCAGTTAACGAAATGATGACTTTAAACGAAACTGCTGATATTCTTATTTCATCAACTTGCTTGTCCATAATTTACCTCGTTTTAGAAATTGTTCATACGTAGAGCATGCTCTTGCGTATCAAATCAACTGAGATATATACATTCAGTATACAGGTGATGAAGGTATATTGCTGCATAAGTAAGGTAAGTTGACGATAGAAAAGTTGAAGTCATCACGTTAGCTTGTTAGATTACCA